GAGAAACAAAGAATCTTCTTACTCTCCAAAGGTTTGATCTTTAGTACTTGGCGTTTTTTTCCCCTTATTCCCTTACTCATGAGTCCAAAACGCTGCGTTTATAGGGACCTTTTGCTATGTCTTATTAGAACTTCTCTTTATACATACGAGTGAACTAAAACTTAAAAACATTGTGGCATGATTTGAATCGGTTTGAATATTTTTCTTTTACATAAACCAAAAGCCAAAAGGAAAAAGTTGAAGAACCATTAATATATGTACATTCTACAATAACTCGTATCACGAAAGTGGAAGCATGGGATAAGCTACCAATCCCATGAAAAGTGAGCAAATATTAATATTAACATTAACTGCTGAGTGGGTAAGTTTAATAACCATTTTCTAAAAATATTTTATATATTCAGAATCCAACTCATGGATTGGTGAGTGTATTTATTATCATCATTTCTATACACATCCACCCCCAATAACTCTGTCAATTATACACCTCAAATCACTAGAAGTTAAAAAAAAAATGAATTTCTTATTTATCTTATAAAAACCGTCCAAAGCCTTTGTGTCTAATGGGTGTTAAACTATTCACATTTTAATCAAGTATTTTTCTGCATATTAAATGAGATTAATTTTCCCACCCAAGAAACATTCGTTAATCTCGACATCATGATTCTGTTTATGTGGCTTCTTAACTAGTAATTGAAACAATGTAGTTATAGTTGTGACTGATTTGAAGTCAGAGAAAATCTCATGTAATCTTATATGAGCAGACCATCGTACGTGATGCGATGTGACATTTTCATTCAACACTAAACTTAAACTTATGATTAACTAACTAATCCAAGATGCTTTGTTAGTAACCGATAATCACATTCATTCACACTCAACCAAATAAAACGAAAGATATTGTTTTGGTTAGGTGAAAGAACAATTAAATTAGTTGCCAAAAACAGAACCCGTGAAGATTTATGTTAGTAACCAAACCAACAGTCATAATTAATAGGTTTATGACTAATAATAATTAAATGACTTGCCAAAAACATGGCTCTGTATAGTGTAGTGTTTAGATTTTGGTTAGGTGAAGATGATTAATTGATACACTTTGAATCTATGAAGACTTGATCCAACGGCTACCAGATCTCCTACTTCAACCGTTTTCATATCGCCATTAATGATACAGACAAGCTGTACTACTATCCTTTTTTATCTTTATATTGTTTTTATACGAATTTACAGTAATACTATTACTACTACTAACAGATTGTTATTTTGTAGCTGGTCCCAAAAGTCAAAACAGAATCATGGTACAAAAGAAAACGAGTTATTATTCTTATTATCATCACCAAGGTAAAAAATGTGAAAGCAAATCCTTTTAAGGCTTAGTTTCAAGATGAATCCAAAAATGTAATTTGATAGTGATTGTTCTTTGTAATGAAGTACTTATCATTAATTTCTTTTGCTTTCAACAAACAATTCTGTAACAATAAGTTTAATGCGAGGAAAGTTACTAGCTAGTAAAATAAGTTAGTAGGACACACCTTAAATCAAATTTACGATTTAGTGTAGACCACCCCCACCATCTATTTATTAACTTATTTATTTACTAGTATATGGTTTTTTACCGAATGTTGTCTAACCAAAATTCAATGTATCCGTATAAGTATATAACTCGTAGAAATGGTTACATATATGTAACAATATATAGAGACACATGTGGGTGTAATTAATATCGTTGCTCTGTTGGATCGTTAGTGTTATTTATAGGAGAAGAAAACACACAAAACAAGACCATTCATGAAAAGCCACATAAGAAGTTGATGCAGAAGCAATTATAACAAAAAAAAAAAAAAAACATTAAAAAAAAAAGCTCTTCAGTTTTGGTTTCTGCAGTCTCCAATGGCTCTCAAGCTCTTTCTCTTTGCTCTTCTTCTCTGTCTCCCGACTTCTCTCTCATCCACGGCCTCTAAAGGTCACTTCTCTTTCTCTTTCACTCTTGCTCTTTTTAAACACATTGCTCATTACATAGTTTTAACTTCTCTATCTTCTGTCTTAGTGTTGGGTTTGTGTAAACTCTGTTTTTTTTCCCTCTCTCTTAGTCATTTACGATTATGTGTAGTTGTGGAGCTTTGTTTTTCGAAACCTGTTTATGTCCGAACTTATTCATAGACATATACGTACATACATATATAAGCTTCTCCTTCAAGAAACTCTCTTTCTTGATTCATCATGACCGAATCTTGAGTGATCAGGACACTAAAACAGTACAGTCTCTTTTACGCGTAAACTGTAGTGTTTTTTTTTTTTGGGTTATGTTCTGCTAAATACATTAATGGTGTAATTACTTCTACCAACTACCCGTAATTGTTTTATTGATTGAATATAACTGAAAAAACAATGTTTTTGTAGGTAAAGAGACGAAGTCAAAGTTTAATCCATACAGATACACATTCATCGATAAAGCAAGCACATTCTCATCATCATCCTCATCTTCATTTTCATCCAACGGTCAAGATTCAGCCTACGATTACATAGTCATCGGAGGTGGAACCGCAGGGTGTCCTCTCGCCGCAACGCTGTCGCAAAATTTCAGCGTTCTTGTTTTAGAAAGAGGTGGCGTTCCGTTTACAAATGCAAACGTTTCTTTCCTCAGGAATTTTCACATCGGACTTGCTGACACGTCAGCTTCTTCCGCGTCACAAGCGTTTGTTTCGACTGACGGTGTTTACAACGCTCGTGCTCGAGTTCTCGGTGGCGGTTCCTCTATTAACGCCGGTTTTTACTCCAGAGCCGATGCTGCGTAAGTACAAATTATATATGAGTATCAATTTTTAGGACAAAAAAATATATGTTGGTTAATTATATAAAAAGCTTTGTTGGTATAATCGATGCCTCGTGTCCTAATGGATTTGTTACATTTATGAAAACGCACCGATCGAGAATGTTGTGTTTTCTTTATAATTTTGGGGGCCATGGACCTTAATCTTTTACTTTCCTTTAATTTTTCACACATATCAACAAAAATATTTTTAAGTAAATTCTTTTCTTCAGTGAAATCTGCAGCATTACTTTCTTCTTCTTTGTTTCCGAAAAAACCGAATTGTTTATTTTTATAAATTTAAAAAAAAAAACCCCAAAAATAAATGATTATTGTCACAAAACTAAATTCTTTCTTCAGAAAATCTGCAACACTTTTTTCTTTCATTTTTGTTCAGTTTTTTTTTTTTGTTTTTTTGGATAAAGTATTTTTTAAAGTAAAATAAGAACAATTTTTTGACTAAATAATATAAATGATTTAAATTGTCACACCAATATTCAGGTTCGTGAAGCGAGCAGGATGGGATCCGAAGCTGGTGAAGGAGTCGTATCCATGGGTGGAGCGAGAAATTGTTCATCAGCCAAAGTTAACGTTATGGCAGAAAGCTCTAAGAGACAGTCTTTTAGAGGTTGGAGTCAGACCTTTCAATGGCTTCACTTACGACCACGTCTCCGGAACCAAAATCGGCGGCACAATTTTCGACAGATTCGGCCGTCGTCACACCGCGGCGGAGCTTCTCGCTTACGCTAATCCTCAGAAGCTTAGAGTCTTGATCTACGCCACTGTGCAAAAAATCGTCTTTGACACTTCGGGTACTGATAAGTTTTTGTGCCTTCCAACTGTTCGATGAAATTCCTGAGTGAGGAGGTTTTTAACTTTGTTTTGGTTTTGGATGTAGGAACAAGGCCTAGAGTAACAGGAGTGATATTTAAAGACGAGAACGGTAATCAACATCAGGCTTTACTCTCGAATAGAAAGGGAAGTGAAGTGATCTTATCTAGTGGAGCCATTGGGTCACCACAGATGCTGATGTTAAGTGGGATTGGACCTAAGAAAGAGCTTCAGAGGCTGAAGATTCCTCTGGTTTTAGAGAATGAGCATGTAGGGAAAGGAATGGCTGATAATCCCATGAACACGATCTTGGTACCTTCAAAGGCGCCTATAGAGCAGTCACTCATTCAGACTGTTGGAATTACAAAGATGGGTGTGTATGTTGAAGCCAGTACTGGCTTTGGGCAATCTCCTGAGAGTATTCATACTCACTATGGGATTATGTCGAACAAGGTAACATAACTTTGTTGTTAGTGTCTTGGTAGGAGAATGTGGTTTGATGTTAAGGAGAGAATGTTCTTTGATTTTGTTTGCAGAATGAGTTGTTTTCCACCATTCCTGCAAAGCAGAGAAGACCAGAAGCAACACAAGCTTACATCACAAGAAACAAATACCAACTTCACGAAGCATTCAATGGAAGTTTCATCTTGGAGAAACTTGCTTACCCCATCTCTAGAGGGCATTTGAGCTTGGTCAACACAAATGTAGATGACAACCCTTCAGTCACCTTCAATTACTTCAAACACCCGGTGGATCTCCAACGTTGTGTTGAAGCCATTCGTCTGGTTTCCAAAGTGGTGACGTCTAAGCGCTTCTTAAACTACACACAGTGCGATAAGCAAAACGTCCACAAGATGCTTAGCTTAAGTGTTAAGGCAAACATCAATCTACGGCCAAAGCAACTGAACGATACCAAATCAATGGCTCAGTTCTGCAAAGACACTGTTGTCACAATCTGGCACTACCATGGTGGGTGTCTTGTGGGTAAAGTTGTGAGCCCTAACCGCAAAGTTCTTGGTGTCGACAGGCTGAGAGTTATTGATGGTTCAACGTTTGACGAGTCTCCAGGAACCAACCCTCAAGCTACGATGATGATGATGGGAAGGTAAATCGAAATCATTAGCAACATAATGAATTGGAGGTTTCCTTTTAATTCAATATAAACAGAGGATTTGTCAATCTTTGCAGATACATGGGAGTCAAGATTCTTAGGAAGAGACTTGGAAACAATGCTGGTGTTTAGTTTGCTGAGCTTTTATCGTAGACAAAATTCGTAGCAGATAATTCTGTTGTGGAATTGCGTTGGAGAATATCTCCCTCTCTGTCTCTCTCTCTCTGTTATTTGATATTCGATTCATTGAAGTATAGGATCATATTGTCTAATGAACTGTGTAACCCTATTTTGGGCAATCGGCTATGTTGCTTGTGTGAAAAGTTAATCATGATTTCTGTTTCAATACTATATTGCAATTCATTCATGGCCTGATTCTGTTTTCTGATTCACTCTCACAATTTCTCAACCTAAAACAGATTCATAAACACATGTTCCTCTCAGTAATTTGTTCTAGTAATAAAAGAAAAAGATTACTAGTCGGAACTCTATGACAATTCAAGAAGGATAAGCAGAAAAAGCGTGATAATGACGAAAACCTAAACCTGAAGTATCTGCCTCACGAGATTGTTTCTCCCTGGTCAGAGATTTTTACCTCCTCAAGCTTTACCTTGCTAGTTTGTTCAGGCATCTCCAAAAACATCTCGTAGTTTATTGGATTCGGTTGCTGCTGCTGCTGCATCTCCTGATGTTGTTGCATGTTCTGAAGATCAAAACCATCGACATTAACGTATTCATCTTCATCTTGTTGTAATAGATGTTCATAGGAATAGCAGCCATATGGAAGATCTTGCCTTTGCCTCTGCTGCTGCTGAGCTAGAGAGCGACACATAGCGATTTGCTGACGAGTAAAGTTAAGCTCAGCCTGAACGATCTCGATCTTGCGCTTAAGATCACAGATAGTACTGTAAACCCCTCCTACTGGATCTAGGGCACGAGCATTAGCGTGGTAGATAAGATTCTCCATAGCGATGTCTCGTTGAGATTCTTCGATTCCTTTGAGCATCTTGGTGATGTTGCTTACTCCAAAGAGTTTATGAGCGTTTAGAAACTGATTTGAGCGATCTTGTGGGAAATAAGGAGCGAGAAGACAGTTTTTCTTGCACTTTTTTCTTTGGTATTTGCAGGCAGCGCAAGCTGTGGTGGAACCACCGGATAAGGTGCTTAAGGACATTAGGGTTTGCGTTTAGGATATATGGAAGTTTAGGGTTTGCCTGGCCAGATGTTCCTTGTTTTTCTCCTTAAGAGAAGGAGAAAGAGAGAAGATCGTGGAGAGTGTTCTTCGGAGTTGTGTGTAGAGAATTTTTCGGGGATGGTTATGTTGAGAGAGATTTTGTTAGTTAAATACAGTACTAACAATAGCCATTTTCTGATTTGTACAAATATATATACGTATATTATCTGTTAGGAATTATATTTTTATCAGATTTTAGTTGATTTTTTCTAGATTTTAGTTGGATTTTCTGTTTTGTCTAGATAACCAAAGAGGGACGTATTTACCATATTTTTTTAATTTTTTTTTTTTGTAGATTACATATAAAATTTGTAGGAGTATCTGATCATTTATCAATGTTTTAATTAAGTTGTTTTTTTTCTATTTCAGTGGCGTTTATAAGCTTTTTTTTTGTTTGTGGATTCAATTGCTTAAAAAACATCAAGGATTACGGACTTGAAAATTGTTTTTTCGAGTATAAAAATCCTTTTTACCGGGTCTGGACTTTTAAATGCTCATGTTTTTGGACACAATTTTTTTTTAGGTAACTTTAAATTCTTTATCATCAACATATGATTGGTTAACACTGTAACTTTTGGTTGTATCTGTAACTTCTGTGGGTGACTAAGGAAGGAAGAGATAGATGGAATCAGGATGAACTGAGCGACTACTACTGACTAACTTTGGAATCATAAGAACCGCATACGAAGTCTTCTTGATCCACTGACTCCAGTAAAAGCTCGAGATGCGGAGATTCCAACTCGAAAATTACCTGCAAAAGTTTTGAACATTAATTAAGTAATGGATAGATGGAATAAGTATGGATAGAGACTCTTTCCATTCGTCTGTCCTCACTAAGAAAAAGGTCAAATCTCATGTTCCTGTTGACATACCAAAGTATTTTTGCCAGGCTTAAGAAGCGGCGCAGGAACATAGAGGTTGCACTGTGGTCCAACAGACTGCAAAAAGAATCATGTGTAAGAGAAATGTACATTGGATGAGCTTTATAGAGGAGGAGAGGACAGAGTTTTACCGGCCAATATCTTCCAATGTTGAATTCATTGATAAAAGCAACTCCTTTACCCCAACCGTTGAATGATAAGTACGTGTCTTCGATTTCTTCTGTAGTGTTGATAGAGAACTCACCAGCAAACAGAGCTGGTTCCTTTTGACCGACGACATCTACAGTTATCGGCGTAAGAAGGCAATTAGTTTCATTCATGTCCCTACTGGTAGAAATTTGAACACAGAAGAAAAGCATCATTCACTTCTCTTTTTAGTATGTTGCATCTCGAAACTGATATTTGGCACTTGATTTAGGTTGTGAAACGGAATTGGTATCATCTTCCATCCATGGAGAATTTGACCATCTAGATATACCGAAGACAGTATACCCTGAACATTAATACAAATTAGACCTTTTGAGCAAGTTCCATGGATAATGTATAAGGCTACCATGGATTCCGAAATTTTGAAACCGTGGATATCGCACTCACTTTGGTATAGATTACCAACTTTGAAGGACTAACGAGAGAAAAATGTAAAAGCTTAAGTGATCTAGGAAAGTATATCAGGTACGTGAAGATGATAAATGTCTGTAACATAAGTCTTACCTTCTCATCAAAGATATATGGCCCATAGTTTACACGACCCATGTTTTCAACCTATAAGAAACAGGAGCAAAGTAATGACCAATGACCCAAATAAGAATGTTCTTAACGAAAATGGTATAAACTGATCATTCTACAGCTTCATCTAGAGGTAAAGAATCTCTTACCAGAATAAATAAGCTCGTGTTTGTGGTGCACTCAATAGTTGGAAGAGAAACAGGTTGGTTGTTCCATCTCTCAGTTGTACCAATGTATCTCAGTACTCCCACATCTTGGGAAAGACATGAAACAAAAACTTGAGCTCTGTCATGAACCTGCAACTTATCATGTTAGAAGATGACCTTTATACATATTGCCATTGGGTTCAGAATTAAAAAAAAAACGAGAGTCTATACCTTGGGTATTCTTAGTATATTCCCACTCTTCTTTGCGATGTATGAAGACTCATATAAAACAAATCCGAACATCTGGGAGAAAAACAATCAAAAATCAGTTTATGCAAAGGACTTTAATATTAGACCATTTCATGGTGAGTAGGGAGATGCTTAGGCAGCACCGTCAAAAATAAGGAATAAAGACTATCGACATTACATACCTGTCCAGCAGATTCCATTGAAATTGGGTTGGCGGAGATGATCACATCTGCAGGATCTGCCATACTAACTAAATCAATCAGCGAAGTTGTCATCTGCATCTTGATAGGACCATACGCTTTCCGTTGCTTATTGGAGGGGATAATGGAGTGTGATGCAACATTGTACTTCTTAATCACTCTCTGAAGAGCTGCAAATAGAACAAAGTTTAATAAATAAAATTAAAGTAAGACTGAAAAATCGCTATAAGCAATCATTAGATCAAACCTCGGAATTTTGGATTATCTATGTCACCAGACTCCTTAATGGGAGCATCCTGAAATGACAAAAACAAAACTGTTACTAGTTACTACTTTGGAATATAGTTAAGGATTTGCAATAACAGGTAATAATGTGAAATTTCCCTACATAGTCATAGGATGTCAGATCTGGTTTATAGTCAGATTCTTCAGAGCCAGTATTTGCACCATTGTAGAAACCAAAGTTTGTTCCTCCATGCACCATCTGAACATCACATTACACAATCCTCATTATTATTCGTTAATCCCCAACTGGTAAACGCTGAGAGATAAAGAATTTAAGCACATACATAGAGCACAGCAGAACCATTTCGAGACAGTATTTTTTCAAGAGAAGTTGCCGTGAATTCAGCATCAGTTTTTGCTATCTTTTCACCCCAATGTGTTAGCCAACCAGTATAAAACTCCCTGTAACAAACAACTCAATGGATCTAAATAACAAATTAACTCACAGTAGAGGGTTGGGAGCACAAGAGACTAACGAGGAAAGTGGAGGTGAGCTTCCTGGAGCATTAAACTTCTTTTGCAATTCAAATATTGGCCAAGGATCATCACCGGTTGTGAAATCAACAGCTATCAGAGAAAGCACTTGCTCGTCATTGTTATATATCAATGTCAGAAACAGACCACTACTTCAGTTTACTATGAATCATGGATGCAGAGGAAACATATACTTTACCTGAGTAGACATCATCTACAGGGACAGTTCCTTTCTCAAGAGTTTCTTTTGTCCCTCCATCTGTTGTGTACCTGAAGATCATTTTGAGCAACAAAAAAACATTCACTATTTAAGTGATTCAACTTGTAAATTCACTATTTTCACAGGACAATGGTTTTAAGGTGCAGAACAAAACACTAATAAATAATACCACTGACAAAACGAGACCCTAGACATGAGATGCAATTCTTAATATATATAAAAGTTCACCCTAAGCATGTCAAACAGAAAGTAACAAGGAGCATAGTTCACTGGAGAGTTATAGAAACCGTAGAAATTAGAAGGCAGAATTTAAGTCTTACACAATAATGTCATCCCCCAGGTGTCCCCTAGCCATACTAACTAGCTTACGAAGATAGGCTTTGTCATTTCCATATGAACCATATTCATTTTCAATCTGCAAAAATTAGCCAACAATTAACAAACATGCTAATATAAAAGATCTATGACAGGGATTTGGGCTCTAGCTAGCTTCACATTGGTCAACCATAGTGTTCCAGGTCTAATGAATTTATACATGAAGACATCTTATTTAAAAAATCCTTTCAGAAGATCAACTCAGTAATGAAGCCGGCACATCTTATCAACGGCAGCCATCACGCAATCACTAGAGTACCAGATCAGGATATATGAATATAGTGGAACATCGCTTTTGATCATGTACCTGAACCATTATAACAGGACCCCCATTGCTGTAAATTAGAGGAAATATCTTCGGTAACAGAACACCCCACCATCTTTCAACCTGTAATATGTTTTTGTCATGAACAACTCTACTTTGAACATAATGCATCAGAACAGTCTAAACAAAGTGGGGACTTTTTCTTGCTAGTTTGCATAAGAACAGCCCTTCTCTTTTATGAATTGTGCAAAAGTAATCTACCCATTCTCCACAGACCATTACATTTTTCTTGTTAATTTGCACAAAGATACTTGAAAACTCAGGCCTGTAGCATTAAGGTGATTCTAACGACAACTTAAAGAGGCAAACATGAAAATGAAACTATGAATGTGTATATATCTTAGATTAATATTGCACACTGCAAGCTTATTATCCGTCTACTACTTGGTTCATTTAACTGATAACTTACCAACTTAAGATATGCAGGATCTGATGTCCTTAGTTGGAGACGTGGTTTCACAGAAAGTAACCAAGCAGGAAAGCCCCCCAAATCCCATTCTGTCATGGAGATGGGAACATGTATCAGCACTTGTTTATGTGTAAAAGCAAATCTTCCACATGATGTGGTAAGAACTTTGGTATCAACTCAATAAAAATCACACCAGCAAAATTAACACAAACCTCCACAGATGTAAGGTCCAGCACGCAGCATAACCATAAAATCTAGTTTATCACATAGCTTGAGAAAGGACACAAGATCACCAATACCCTCAAAAACCATCTTCCCAGGCTTTGGTTCATGCAGATTCCAAGGAACGTATACTTGAATAGTATTCAGGCCTAAAGCCTTGGCTCTTAGAAGCCGATCCTCCCAGTACTGCATCCACAATCTGGCATTAATCCATCAATCATTTAAACATTTACGCAGCAATCATATGGATTACTCGGAAAAAAAAAAGACATCTCATCTAGAAAAAGGGATAGTACCTCAGGAAGAACACGGAAGTAGTGCAAATCACCACCGATGATCTGAAAATGATTCCCATCTTTCCAGAAACTGTCATCTTTGATATAAAACTTCCTTGACATCATTATCATCTGCAGTTTTTAAAATGAAAGTCAAGAACTTGATGAAATGAGAACCATATAACACATAATTTCTTGGTAAGCGATCCACTCAAGCAGTGGAAGAAAACCAAGGACAACGGGAGTTACACAAATACTTGAAATCATCTCTCACCACTTCCACATTGATTTCGGTTCCAAAGAAAAGAGATCAAGAAGCAATTAGTAGAAATCCCTGAAGTATGAATCATGCTTACCTTCTCGTCCCCAGGTATTTCAGGAGGCAGAGACAATGAAGGAAGAGCTAAGACGGGCACATAGATTCCGACAGCTACAAGAACCAGGAGCAACACGAAAGCCAATTGATGTCTTGTTTGTCTTCCCGTTGATGGCCAGCTACGCCTGCTTGTCATCGCCATCGTCCCTCTTCTGTAAAAAAATAGACTTGGCAAATTGCGCCGGCTCGAGCACTTCCTGATCCTTTCGCCGGCTCTACCGATTTCGTGCCGGAAAATTTTTAACCGGTTTTAGCAAATGTCAACTCCTAAAGCGGGAGACATCGGTTCCGGAGAACTAATGCCGGTTTTGCATATCACAGAAACCAGACGGACGGAGACAATCGCCACATTAGAGACAGACTGCCATTTCAAACCAATCAAATTTACTAAAGAAGTGTCTCTGCTACACAACAACAACAAGTTGAAGTATACCAATCGATTTCCTAACTTGATGTCCTCTCTCCTTAAAGTAAAGATCCCAGACTTTAAAAACGTCAAGCTACCTGAAAGAAAGTACTGTCATATTGGTTCAAGAAGCTATCGCTATCGTACCGGCAATTCAAGCCGCGCGATGGCCGGGAAAGTAAACGGCTCGGATTCGACGACAACATCACTCCTTCGTTATCACGTGTTGATAAGAGTATCGACTACGTCAAACAAAAAAAAATGCTCACTAAATGGGTCAAGAAGGCTCAAGACCAGTTGTTGTGGTGTAATATTGTACATGGGCTCAACTCAACGTTACACTAATCTTTTTTCTTTTTGTCTTTTTGTAATAATTTTGTTAAATATAAGCAACTTGCATATACAAACCAATGCCCGTGATGCTGCATTGGTGTTATTCCACTTTGCATTGTCGTTTACCTATTCTTTCAAAGGACTTCATTCGGAATAATCAAGACAGTTTTTGTTTCTGTTAACTAAAGAAGTAAAGATTACTCATATTCTCAAAATTAAGAAAATACTGACTACACATTAGACTTTGAAAATATAGGGGGTGTTATTAGTTTGTTAATTTGTAAATCCATACAGAATTTGAAAATTTCTATTAATTATGAAATCAAGATATATGGATTTTGAAATAACATGTGTTTACCCATGGATTTGAATCCTTCTATTTTTCTCTTTCAATTCCATTTAAAACATAATTTGGATTCTCAAATCCAAAAACAAATGACTAAACGAATAACATAAGATTTTAACTAGTATTTATAAATCATAGAACCAATAACACATGAATTTAATTAGGATTTTAAAATCAATGATTGAATAACAAATGATTTTTGTTTGGATTTCTAATTCCATATAAATCTATGAATCAATAACCCCTCCTATAGTATTACCAAATTCTAAATCAGAGAAACAACTCTTCTTCCACCATATAAACATATACACCCTAATAGGGGCATTGATCTTCATCTTTCTTTTACGTCTTGCATCTCATATTCAATTTAACAAATTTAATTAGATTCCATTTTGATGCTTCATTTTGTATTGTTAATCCAAAAAGATGATCTATAGTTAGCTCCTCAAGGATCCAATAAGTCATACAATAATGAGATTTGATGTCACGTTCACACTTTCACACCAATTTTTCTAAAAAGCCAAATGACAAAGGCAATTTAGTGCATCCCAACTCCAATATTAGTCAAAACACATATCAATATCTCACTTCTCCATTATAATATACACTTGCATAATATTATAACACATTCTATATCTCTATATATACGTAGTCAAGAGAAATAGTCCTAGTTTCTTACACAATTTTTTTCTCAAAAGTACACCCAAAACTATGAACCTTAATCTTGCTCCAATCAATAATTCATCATCATCATCATCAACAACAACATCATCGTCAACACCATACGGATTAACGAAGGAAGAGTTCTCAACACTAGACTCCATCATCCGAACACACCACACGTTCCCAAGATCGCCAAACACGTGCACATCTCTCATAGCACACCGCGTAGACGCACCGGCACATGCCATATGGAGATTCGTCCGAGACTTCGCGAATCCGAACAAATACAAACACTTCATCAAGAGTTGCACCATCAGAGGTGACGGTAACGGCGTCAAAGAGATTAAAGTTGGGACAATAAGGGAAGTTAGCGTGGTCTCTGGTCTTCCAGCGTCAACAAGCGTTGAGATACTCGAAGCTCTTGACGAAGAGAAACGGATCTTGAGTTTTCGTGTTCTTGGAGGAGAACACCGGTTAAATAATTACCGGTCGGTTACATCGGTTAACGAGTTCGTCGTCTTGGAAAAGGATAAGAAGAAAGTGTATAGTGTGGTTTTGGAGTCTTATGTTGTTGATATACCTAAAGGTAACACGGAAGAAGATACGAGGATGTTTGTGGATACTGTCGTTAAATCGAATCTACAGAATCTCGCCGTCGTTTCCACGGCTTCTCCGACTTGAAAGTTTTTTGTGTTGAAAATGTCTTGTGTGTATATATGTTGATGATGGGCCATAAATGGGCCGATTATTTGTTCAGTGGATTGTGAGGTGTGTTGTGTGTATATAAAACTGATGGGCTGTAATTGGCTTGTAATGGGCTGAATAATTATCATATAAAGAAAGCCCTGAAAAGTTCCGATTTTGTTTTCGGCGGATATCCCAAATTTATTTAGTAAGAGCATAGGCAGTGGTGCATTCGAAAAACGGGTGTAAGTATTAAAAAAACAGATTTAATGCAAAAGTTGTCTCTTTTTTCACATTCGGGTGTAAGTTTACACTCGGGTGTAAGACACTTTCTCTCTTTCTCTCTTTCTTTCTCTTTCTCTTTTCTCTCTCACTTTAAATTATAATAATAAAAAAATCTTACATCTCCCCTCACACTTACACCAGTGCGGATGGTCTAAAGGCATTAAAGTTAATTGATTACTATTTTTCCTATACTCATTTTTCCTTCCTAACAGATAATTATTTGTTAAATGAAAAATTTCATGCTTGGATTTTTCTTAATTTTGAAAATTGGAAGTCACCTAAGTTAGATGAAAGTGTTGTTGATATATATATTTACAATATGAGTTCCAGTTTATATAAAGTAAGACTAAACATTTGAAAATAAAATAATATAGTTAATTATATATACAATCAGTAAAAAAATGTTGGATGTCAAAAATAAAAGTCAGTCGAATTTTTTTATATAGGGGCCTAGAAACTTGGTAGCATCCGCTTTCAGCATTTGTCCCAAAATTTCTTGAAACCATGAAGAAAACAAATACACGTATCGTTATTGCAACACCATGAAGAATATTCGTGTCGAATGATTCGAAATATGATTCTGTCTGTATCAGTATTTGGATATTTGGGACCGCATGGCTCACGTGGTTTCTATAAATTTGGATTTGGAACACCAAGAAAAACAATTGTTAATTATGATAGATTTATCGTAATTAAACTACTTTCTAGCTACGGTGACAAACTACACGTGATGAATGACAAAACAGCGTAATATCAGACGAGATTCATTCCACAAGAAATTATGTTTATTAAACAAAATTCCATAATTATTATTTTTCTTCAAAGTAATTAACTAATATTAATTTAATTAAGTGGTTAAATCAAGTTATCAACCAACGAAGTAATACTTATTGTTAGAAACAAAAATCACAATCTTCTTGCAATTTCATCGTCAAACACTCACACAATATATAGGATAAATTCCAATCTTTTTGGAATACTACAAATCAAGCATATAAGGAAGAAGAGTCACCAACAGATTTATAATCTTCTTCCTCCACTATTTCAAAAACATCTAACTAGACTGAGACACACGAAGAGCACGAGGCAATATTGGTTCATGATGAACATTATTAATCCCGACAGAGATAGTCTGCAACTTGCAATTGTTCTCCGCACTAGTCAACATCTTCTCCTTCTCTTCCTCCAATATAATCTCTTCGATTGTTCCTATTAATATCATCTCCAAGCTTTGGCCATCAGTCCATTCTCTAATCGTTGCTTTGATCAGCATCGGATTTTGACTAATCAGATCCCATACCGGGAAATTCTTACGAGGCATCACGTAATCTTCAGTGTTTAGTTTCAAACTTGGACAGTAATCACCAGCTCCATCTCCTAAATAGATCATTTTCTTCTTCCCTTCTTTAGCTAAAGATTGTTGAATTCTCTCAATGATCAAGCCCTAAATAAATGATTTAAATATGGTTTAATATTAGAAACGACCAAAGTGGGTCCATAGAAATGATGTTTTGACTGATTTGATGACCAAAACATAATTTTATTATCGGAAATTTTCCAAATGTCAAACACTTTTTTTTTTTTTTTTTTTGTGTAAATGAACAAAACATTATAAAGTGTCAATTAAGAGAAAAATAATGTAAAAGTACCTTGCACATGTTAGGAGGGCAAGTGCCACAAGAGCAGCCATGAGACGATTTAGTGAAGTCGTGGTAGGGAGATATTCTCAATGTGCCACGTTCATCGACATATCCAGGGTTCGAGTTGATCTCAGAGAATAGTTCACTTATCCCGAGATGTTCAACGATGGTTTCGATGAAAAACATGTTTGCATCGCTCACTATCCTCAGTTCACACCTGGAAACCGAACCGTAAATATCGGATCAGAAACGGTGGGTTTTGTCTAACATTAGACATAATAATTTAATTAACAAGAAAACATTAATTATTAGACATGTAAAATTTGATTGTTACAAACAAGACAATAATGAAGATTATTACCCTAAATCATGTGCAGATTTGATGGCAGGGACGACACGTGGATGGATTGGGATTGTTCTCAAGACTTGTTTGATCTCCTCAATGGTTTTGCCTTGATCATGAAGCTCCTTCATCATACGATCCTGTTATTTTGTACAATTTCATTTAGGGTTTTTATTCGAAAACGGGATTATATTAACCATAATTGCAAGATAATAATCGAATACGCGACCGAAAAATGGAGATGAGTTTATTCGAAATTCAGAGGAGAGAAGAAGGTAGAACAAACCATGAGTGTGTTCCAAGGCATGGTGGGGAGAAGTTGATTGAACAAATCAGTGTAGCCAAGTTCATCGATTACCCAATTATCGCTATCAACGTCGATGATGGTCTTGTCGAAGTCGAAAACAACGACAATGTTGTTGCTGTTCTTGTTATTGCTATTGTAAGCCATGACTCAGAAATTTTCTCTAGAAAATAAAAGAAATTAGTGATTCTAATTGATGGATCTCTCTCTCTGAGTTCTTGTTGGTTTGTGAATGGAGATGAAGAGAAATGTGGTTAGGTATTTATACTAATGAATGGAGAGAAACAATGGAGGATTTTATCGGAGATGCCAATGGAATATTACCCTCAAGGTAACAAAAAGGAAGAAAAATTTAGAATCCTTTTGATTTCGTATGTGAACCGTTGGATTTGATGACGTTTACGGGTCAAACATGAGTCTTATATGGAGATCCAACGGTTGTGAGAGCTCTTAGATGATTTTTTGCCTTTTTAGAAGTTTCCGGGTGGGATAATAAAGATGAGGAGGAGGTAACGCGGGAATAAGAGAAGAATATTCCGAAACCAAAATATATCCTTACTTCAAATAAATATATATCAAGGAAAATAATTAAAAGCAATACTATACTATACAAGATAATTTTTGTAAGAGATGTTGAATAATATGTTGACGACACATCATATGACATTCTGTATTCTTCAATCAAGATTTGATA